CTGAACCAACTCTGCAGCACTTAACAACAACCATCACCACAGGCTGTAAGCTGGGCATCATTGTTTTTAAAAGCTCCCAGACAATTCTGACATGCAAAAAAAGTTTAGTAAGCACTAACCTAGACTTATTTCTCCTTGACTGTAATCCCCATTACTCTTTTGCTACGTATTACTGGGGCCATACGTAGAGCCTGTCACCCACGAGAACAGTGCACAACAGCTGTTTCCAACCTTCTCTCTCCTTGTGCCTCAGAACCCATTCCTAGAACTCATCAAGTCCTTTCTCGCCTTCTCCCTTTTTGTCCAGTCCTTCATCCCTGTGCTACCCTGAAACCCTTTCTTGTCCATAGCCAATAGCATCTCCCTTCATGTTCTTTCTTCTGCCACATCTACCTGGGATATTGGAGAAGTGTCTACATCAAACTGCAGGCAGAGAATTCCAGGAAGACTTCTTGAAGTTGATGATGGTACTTGAGCTGAGTTTTGATGACCAAGTAAAAGTGAAGAGAGGGCCTTTCAGTCAGGGCTAAAACATATGTAAAAGCATAGCAGAGGGGAAAAGTCAAGTTTACCTGAGCTTCTGTAGTCTGGACAGGTGCTAGCTAATAAAGCTACAGAAGTAACACACTTTACCCAATGGAAAGTGGCCTTGGGCATTGATCCCGGAAGTTTCCACAATATCTTTACAACCTTTAAGAGTAGTTAATAGGTTTTTTAAAATGACTTTTATGTTATAACATTAATACATATTTATAGAAAATAGGAAACACTAAGAAAAACATAAAAGAATATCAATCACCTCTAATCCAGTTACCCAGAACTCAGCTCTGTTAAGATTTTGCTGAAATTTTCCTTTTTCTGTACATATTCTTAGCTAGTTGACAGCATGTTATATTGCTGTTGTTGTTAAGTGTCATCAAGTCAGTTATATAAGTAACTATATATCCTGCCTTCATACTTAATACGATATCATAAACATATTTCATGTTGTTGAAACTTTGTAAATATCTTGGTGGCGGCATAAAATTCCATCCTATAGATACCCTATCATTTATTTAAATATTACCATATGGATCGAAATGTCAGGGGAAGAGGAATTTCATTCACTATTTTAAATGATGCCGTAATGATAATGTTTGTATGAATTTCAGTTCTGCCAGTGGTTTCTGATAATTAGTACCGAGAAAGAAATTAGTGGTTTGAGTGGTATGAAAGTTTTTAAGTTTTTATTATAATGTGTCAAATTTCTTTCCAGTTTACAGGCTTGTCATCCCTGTGAAGGAATATACTTCTCATCTTCTCTTTCTTTCCCAGCACTGCTGCTGTCATGGGAACCACTGAACAGTGCTTGGCTTGAGCTAACAAGATATCAGAGATGCATCTATAAAGTAGCATTCTGAAGGCTGAGCTAAGTGGACCAGATTGAAACTGCTATTGTCCTTTCAGTACCTCCTTTGCTTTTACATTCTCCTTCTTTCCATCCTCTTACTTAATCATCTTTCTTTCCTGTCAAATATATATGAAGTGTTTGCTGCATACAAAGTGCTACATAGGCTTTATTACCAGGGACTAAATCAGAGTAGTGCTGAAAGACCTGATTTTATGGCTGCAACAAGCTGCTGCCCAGCCCAGAGACCCTTTTCCTGTTGCCCTGACAAAAGGATTCTCTGGATAGTAATTCTCCTTAGGGAAAAACATTTTAAAATATTTTCCAATGAAATTGCCAAGTGGGTTCATTGCTAAATTAACTTCTTTCTCCAGTCTGTAATTGTTTAACCCTCCACATGGTCATCCCTGTGTCTGGGATGCCCTCTCTCCTTCCCTTTCTCAATTTAGCAATTTATCTTCCTTATTATCTCTGGCACCTACCTTCTCAGCGTACCCAGTTACAATCAGTCACTCAGGATTTTTTGTTTCTTTGACGCTGTAGGATAAGCACTTCACCCAAAGGTCGGTTTGAACTGCAAGGTTGACAGTTCAAACTCACCATTTGCTCCTCAGAAACCCTATACAAGATCACCATGAGTCAGAACCAACTCAACGACACTTAACAACAACAACAACATAGTTCAATTACAGCATTTTTTAACTCTGATTTGTCCTTTTAGCCAAGCATCCCCATAGGAGTAGAACATTTTGCATATCCAGTTCTTAACTTGGCAGATACTCAGTGACTAGTAAATGAATGAATGAATGAATAATTCCTATACAGCTAAGGTACGTGGGCATTCCGTCATAAATACTAATGAGTTAAAGTGTGTAAAGACAATGTAGAGATAATATGAATTGCCAAAACCACTGAATGGTTGATGCTTGAGGTTAAACAGATACTTGGTGTATCAGAAGTCCCAATCCTCGATTCTGTATTTTAAACATTAATTGTTCTGTGTGTTGGGACCCTGTCTTGCTCTTCTCCCTCCCCCCCCCACCCCCTTGAAAGTTTCATTTTCACTCTCAATTTAAATTGTGGCTAAAGATCTCTGTGCTGGAAGACTGTTTGTAAATACTCCACCAAGGAAGGACTTTGTGGTTCAATAAGTTTAGGAAACAAAGTTAGATTGGTTTCTTTATTTCCGAACTTCCAGGTAGGCCTTCTAGGAAGCTGCAACAGAGATCAACTAGGTCAAATCTTGCCTCGTTAGTAGACAGGAATCATCCTACCCAGTCTCTGCCAGGGAAGATTTCAGAGTGCAGTTTCAAAGACAGAAGAGCAACATGTATATAACAAGATCATAATATCCCTTTCCCCCTTCATTCATCTCAGTCCCTCAGTGGGTAAACCCCTGCCCCAGCCCACCCCCACTCCATACCAATGAGATCAGCCTTCATTACTTCTCTTCTAGAGCCAGGAAGCAAGGTAATGTGTGGGAAGTGATAGCTGCAAGGTAATGTGTGGGAAGTGATAACAACTTTAGAGTTAAAGCCATTTAACAGGAAAATTTGTTAAAAGACCAAGACATTGTAAAAGCTGAAACACTTGAATCTATTAAGTTCTCTGCTTCTCAGAACATTTTGTTACCAGCGAATGTTTCAAGGAGGGAAAACATTGAACTATCACAGTGCTGTCAGATACCAAAGCCTGGTACAAAGAGCAACATGTTTTACAAGACAGCTGTCCTGCAAGTAGAGAAACATCGAAAAAGTTCACATCTCTTTCTCCTTCTCTCTCCTACGCCAACATAACTCCCTCCACTTTCCCCAGCCTCTACACATTGCTTTCCTCTTGTCTCTTCTCCCCTTCTCCTCCTCCTTCTCATCCGCCTCCTAACTTCTTCTCTGTCCCTCCCCACGTTGCTCTCTCCAAACCCACGGTGTTTTCACAGACACTTTGAGAATGACAGAGTAAATGAAGACTATCTAGTGGTTATTCAGCCTTCTTTGGCAAGAAGAGAACTAATTAAGTGACTAGAGGTTTAGATATTCATTGTTTATTAGATCCAAACTCCTTCGGAGAGCCTGGGGCATTCTCCTAAAGAAACATTGCCCCTCCATGACTTGTTCAAGTCCACATGAGATGGAGAATCAAAGGAGACAGTATCTTTTCACAGGTATGAAGAAAGGAGAATGGGCGTGTAGATGGATATAGGAGGAAAACAACTTTGTGCCTGTCACAGAACGCCTAATGCAACTTGTATATCTGTTGGCAGATGATGTCCATCATGGATTATCAGTTGGTTAGACTGTGGCAATGTTGACACATTTGTGGTTGGCCCAATGGTTTGTTTAACTGTCCTCATTAGAAATACATCCATCAAGAGAGTGTTTTTAAACAGTAGTTGGTCTTCTAAACAAGAGTATAGACAAACCCAAATATCCCTTTGCCAATCTTTACAAACACCATTACACAATACCAGGAGGCACAGAAATCCTCTGTTAAATAAACAAAAACCTTTGTAGAAACACAATCTTCTAATATATTGATATTAGTTGAGGTTATACAATAGCCGCAGCCTATAAGGAAGATACAATGCCTTGGTAGGAAAAGGAATTGGAGCTTTTAAAGAATTTACCTCTTTATTTTGCTTCTGTTTTAGATAAATAAAAGTTGTTTTATAAAAACAACTTTGTCTTGGGCCTGACATCAAACCTTAATCCTACCATTGCTTTCACACGAACTTGGGTAGGTATAGTCTAAGTCTCAAGGACTATGAAAAAAGGCCTTTTCCAGGTTCTGAACCACAAGTAATTGCCACCACAGGAGGCCATTGATCCCATAAGGCTCTCTGAACCTGAGACTCATATTGGCTGTCCCTCTTTTTCTACTGTGAACCCAGAATATTATTTACCTTAGCTCAGATTAGGCACCTGGTGTCCTGAAAGAGGTCACTGATTTCCCAGAGGATGCCCAAGGAGGTTGGCTCACTAGTGGCCTACCACAGGCCAAACAGAGGTAAATTAACCATCAGTCTTCATTAGTGGGTCTAAGATGTTATTCAGACATTCAGAGAAGAGAGGCTTGCTCCAGCTATGGATAATGATCTTCATCAGCATTCTTTTCTATCCTGATGCCAAATCCATGTGGCTTTAGCTGCACAGAGGTGGAAAATTATTCCAGAAATAGCTGACTTATCATATATGGTATTCCACATTTGAAGAAGGAGCTCAGCAGTTCGAAACTACCAGCTCTTCCATGGGAGAAAGATGACGCTTTCTGCTCCTGTAAAGATTTACAGCCTCGGAAACCCTGTATAGGGTTGCTATAAGTCGGAACTGACTCCACGGGACATAACAACAAATATATATATATATTCATTGAATGCTTATTAGTGTTCTGAATCAAAATCTTTTTTCACTAAAACTCAGCTCTCTTCCTGAAAGGTACATTTATGGATCTTTGAGAGAAAGCTCTTTTCAGATTGAAGATGAAAAAGCTGTTTCATGGGGAAAGACGGGATGGCAGTGGATTTGGGTTGGCCTTCCCAAGAAACAGGCCTTCTGGTTAGAACCAGTCTGAGGAACAGAAATTTGTAAGCATTGCTTTTGCCTGTCTCACTCTGCAGACCTCAGTGACCAGCTTCTTGAAGTGGTGGGGCTAGAGGGAGCCATGGAGATGGGGCAGATCTACACTGGCCTGAAGAGTGCAGGCAGGAGGCTGGCCCAGTGCTCATCTGTCACGGTCAGGTATGTTCCTCATTACCCAGTAGCCTCTGAGTCTCTCCATCGCCCTTATCAAACTTCCAGACAACAGATAGAAAGCTATCTTTGGATTTCAGGACAGGAAGAATTGGGCAGATGTTAGCTTGATAACTTTTATAAAGAACGTCTTTACAGACCAATTTCCAAACCAAACATATTGCAACCATCTAGGACATCCACTACAGCGTCCGCCACAACCAGTTAATTGGCTGTTCTTTTAGAATGAATGAGTGAAATTCTCTCAACAGGAATATAAGATTATGAAGTCCAGAAAACCAGAGGCCCAACTCCTTGACTTTATTATCTTTACAAATTAAAATGTTAGCTGTCTGCCAGGGTGTACACTATGACAAAAACCAGGTTCTCTGTTCTGCTCTTTCTTGGATAATGGCCTTGGAAATGCTATTTCCTATACAGACAGTCCCCAGGTTACAAATGAGATCTATTCTAACTGTGTCTTCAAGAATTTGTAGATAAATCAGAACGAGTGCAAAATAAAAAGACAAAACAAAACAAAAAAACATCAGTTCTGACTCATAATTACTCTATATAGGGTTTCTAAGACTGTGAATCTTTACAGAAGCAGATAGCCTCATCTGTCCCCTGAGGAGTGGCTTGTGGGTCTGAACTGCTGACACTGCAGCAAGCAGTCCAATGCCTAACCCACAGCACAACCAGGGCTCCTTGGAGCAGGTTCATACTTAACCTTATTTAAATTCTTGTTTAGCCTTACTTTAGTGTAAGAAAGGCTTGAAGCCTGTTCAATGATTTCAAAGCTTCACATGCAGCAAATGAAGGTGTTTAGGATAAAGAATTGCTTTGGACAACTAACCAACTAAGGAGCTCTGGTAGCATAGTGGTTACGAATCAGGCTGTGAACCTCAAGGTCAGCAGTTCAAAACTACCAACTGTTATGTGGGAGAAGGATGAGGCTTTCTGCTCCCGTAAATATTTAGAGCCTTGGAAACCCTGTCCAAGGTCGCTATGAGTCAATCGACTCCACAGTACATTTACCACCACCACCACTAACCACTAACCACTAAACAACTTGATGGTACTTAACAACAACAATAATAGCTAACCACAAGGTTGGTGATTCAATGGCTCCTTGGAAACCCTATGCAGGGTTGCTATGAACCGACTCCAAGGCACTTAACAACAACAACAACTACAGATGTTGGTTCAATTGTTTCAAAGTGAAGGCAAATTTACATATCATTATTTGGCAAATAAGAATTGTCCATCCTTATGTAGCGCTGCAAGTTAATGTGCTGGACTGCAAGGTCAGTTTGAATCACAAGGTCGGCGGTTCAAGATCACCAGCCACTACTTGGAAATTCTACACAGGGTCGCTATGAGTCAGAGCCAACTTAAAAGAAGCTGTACATAAGTTGTCCATAAATTGGACTCTCATAACCCAGGGACTGGCTGTACATATATACTTTTCTAGAGCTAAACCATCACCATCAGCAAACCTTTCATATTTGACTATAAGGATGATGACTCTTCATGGTATGGATCGCATACATCATCCACTACTGGCTCCTGAAAAGGATGCAGTCTAATGGAGGGGTCCTTGGGTTTCACTTGTCTCTACTTAATTAATGTAACCTGTCACAAATCCTTTCCTACCTGAAAATCTCAGAAGTCTTTATGCCTTCCCTTTTTCTAGTCTATTTCTACAGCTCAAATCTATTAGTGTGCCATAGAGATCTCCTGGAGGAGACCACAGGTTGTGTGAGGTTTCACAAAGTTATTTAACCACAGAACCCTTTCCTCCCAGAAGCGTCAGAGCACATTTAGGGAAACTGCTGTTCAGGACTCTGTACAGCTCAGACTTCCCCAGATGACAGCTCTTAGATGTAGATCACCCCACTAGCCTCTCGTCTTCATTTCTTCTCTCTCTTTCCATTATTCTTCAAAGCCACGTTCCCCTTTCTTTGAGAGCCGTTGTACTGAAGTTCCTATGTTCCAGATTCATCTTTCTAGTTCTTTCCCTTTCAGTTTTCCATGACTTTAATATTGAGCCGGTCTGGTGTATTGTTAACACATCTAAGCCATAATGTATATAAGCCATGCAGTACATAACATCTGCATCTCTGAGGAATCACATAAGCCATTTACACAAGGAAAGCCTTTTTCTTCATGTTCAGTAGCTCTCTTTCCAGTAGAAAAAGGAGTGAACCTTAAACCTATCCTCCTAGGCATTCCCTAGACATTCTCCTCAGTCCCAAGTCCCAAATCACCATTTTCTCTTCTTTATGTACCATTTGTTTTTATTACTAACTTAATTGCTTTTATCACTGAATATTCTCTATAAGATTTATATCAAAGCACAGCTTCCCTCCCTCATGTCATCATTTCAAACCCAGGTGAGGGCTATTATCAATGCTTGATAATTGTTCCCTGCTTCCCAAGACCCCCAAAAGGACTGCCCTTTCTCGTAAGCGAATACAGTGCAAATTCATAACTCTCCCACAGAAGGAAGTCAGAAAAATCTCTTGTCTCTCTTTTTAAGAAAGTCATATGCCAGAGAAATCTTGTCCCAAGCAATCCAATGCTTTCCTGTCTTCATATCCATGGAGATAATATCCTGGGATGACCCACTTTCTCAATTAAGCCAGTCTATGCAACCCCAGAGTCTATAGTTGTCCAGGAGGTGAGAGTTGATGGTAAGGCTATGGGATATATAGCAAGACACACTCAGACCTGAGCTATACCTTGTATACATTGGAGACATTACTTCATCGACATGATGTAATATCTCACTCAACATAGAAACCAGGCCCATTCCCATTTCATAACCCCAGTAGTGGGGTTTTGGGCATGGACCAGAGGCCCTCTGGCTAATTGTTTGCCATACTTGTTGGCCACCGCTTCCTGGCTGCTTCTGTGGGTTTCACTACTTACCCAGGGCAGTGTTCCTCAAAGTGTGGTCTGAGGACCAGTACAATAGAATCACCCACAGTGTTTATTAAAATGCAGATTTCTGGGGCCAGCCCCACACCTGCCCAGTCGAATCCCTGAGATGAACTCAGAAATCTACTTTTAACAAGATCCCCAGGAAAGCCTTAGAGAACCACTCCTAGGTGGTTCCCACTTCTGTTTCTTTGATAGAACAACCCTGATTCTCCATGAAGCTCATTTGTGTCCTTTTGGTTTTTTTGGGTTCCAGAACTAACAAGCTGCTGCCAATGCAAGTGGATGGCGAGCCCTGGATGCAGCCACCTTGCTCGGTGAGTTTTCCCAAGCTTTGAAATGGGAATGAGAAATTTTTTTTTACCACTTTGGGGCACTGACTTAGTATGAAATCACTGAATCTCGGAGTTACACGGGGCTTTGGAAGACCCTGAATATACCGTCTCTCCCATTGTATTCATCCAACCATTCATGTACCTGACAAACTTTTATTCGGTACCTAGTATGTGGCAGCATTATTAGGCACCAGTTACAAAACTGAAAGAAATACAACACGGGTCTGTCTTCCAAGAGCTCACAATTCTAGTTGGTGAATTCTGAAACTTCATCCATAGTATCTTTGGCAGATTCAGCTTGAATCATTCCTAGTAGCAGGGAATGTCCTACCTCAAAAGGAAGACTGTTCTTCGGATGAACAAATCTCATTGTTAGAAAGCCCTTCTTTATCTAGAAGCCCAATCTGCACACTTAGCCTTCTACCCAGTTGCTGTGAACACTGGAATGCCTAGGGGATCTCTTCACAATGCACAGACATTCCTCACCACAGGTGTGTCCACAGCCCTGAGGACCTGCAGGAGAATGCCACTGAAAGGGAAACCACCTGGGTAGTCGATTTTGTTCCTGTCTTATAGGGATGAGCCACTGCCAGCGAGTTAATTCCAGCTCATAGTGACCCTAGATACAGGATTTCTGAGAGTGTAAATCTTTTTTTGTTTCTTTGAACCTTTTCATTGTGAATTGAGTGGAGATTTACAGAGCAGAATACCAGGTTTAAGGCCAACAAATCACATACTTTGTTTCATTTCAGTGGTAACGATCCCCCCTCCCCAAATGTATGGTGAGCATAACTCATTAGTGTTGTTGTCTTACCCATAGACCTAACCACTGCTTGGTTGAAAATTGGGCCATGAGGAAGAGTCCTGTTCTAGACCTGAAGGGTGGCCGAGGGCCATTGTCTCAGGTTTTTCCAGAAACTATATATCTTTATAGGAGCAAACAACCTCATCTTTCTTCCTCAGAGCAGCTGGTAGGTTTGAACCCCTGACCTTGCAGTTAGCAGCTCAATGCTTATCTCACAGAACCACAAGAGTCCCTTTGGTTTGTAGGATAAGCACTGAATTGCTAATCACAAGATCAGGCTGTCTGTCCCAGTGAAGATTTACAGCCCCAGAAATCCTATACAGGGTTGCTATTAGTCAGAACCTACTTGGTGGCACCTAACAACAATAACAACAGTTACTCAGTAATATTTGTTGGATGATGAATAAATGAATGAACAAACACTACAATGGGAACCTCTCCATTTCCTTACTTACCATACATACTACATACATACACATACACTAGCTTCCCAGTTAGTACTATTACAGGAGCCATGCATCCCTCCCGAATAGAAACCCAGTTAGAAACTCTGTGGCTAAGAGAAATGTTTTGTTTGTTTTCAGAAAGCCTCTGCTGAGATATTACTTTAGTAATACCCTCAGTAAAGTCGTGTGTGAATGTACAAATCTCAAAAAAACATTGTGATTCTAGACTGCCTAACACTAATGGGCTATCAAGATACTTCAATAACCTGCTATATTGAGCCACTCAGAATATCGAGTTGTCTACTATTATACTGAAGGAGCTCTGGTAGCATAGTGGTTATGAATCGGGCTGCTAACCTCAAGGTCAGCAGTTTGAAACTACCAGCTGTTCCATGGGAGAAAGATGAGGCTTTCTGCTCTATAAAGATTTACAGCGTCAGAAACCCTGTACAAGGTTGCTATGAGTCAAACCCAACTCCATGGCACACCACCACCATCACAACTATTATTCTGAGGAGAGTGTTTTCACAAAACTTCTACTAGGTATAAACCTAGGTATGTTTTTGTAACTCTGTTCCCTATACCAAGGCAGGTGCCGTGGAATCAGCCCTGTCTCATGGCACCCCATTTGTGTCAGAGAAGAACTATGATCCATAGGATTTTCAGTAGCTGATTTTTTTAAGAAGTAGATCACCAGACCTTTCTTTCAAGCTTGAACTTGAACTTCCCAATGGGCTTGAACTTCCAACTTTTCAATTAGCAATCAAGCTCATGAATCATTTGCACCACCCAGATGTGCTATAAATTAGAACATTGATCTCTAGAGACTCTAGCGATGACGTCTTCTATAAAGGCTACCAAAGGTAGAAATTGTTCTGCAAAATCTTTCCTCAGACTTCTGGTTTTATGAAGACTAAGAAAAAGATAGTAATATACTATAGCAACGCTAATAATAACTTACCACCTTTCTAGTATTAGGAAGAATGGAGGGAATTTCTATTACCTCTCATTTTAATGGCGCTAAATTCAAAAAATCTATCCAAGTTCTACCTGTTTTCTAAACAAATATAGGAAGACAGTAAACCCATTCCTGCTTGGCTCAATGACATTGTTTTGATTAAATCTGTAAACTGGGTGTCATTCCACTAAATGCAGGTACTGCTTTTCAAATTAACCAAATACTGCCCTGATCCCTAGCCTACTCTTTCTCATTGCTACCTTGCCCTTCAGAGATTATACCTCACCATGAAAACATTTGTGACCCATTGATTTTTTATGGTGTGAAGTTCATAGAAATTCATATGTAAGGACAAAAATAAATCATTCTTTAAGTTACAAGTAATAAAAGCAAATGCAGTTTTATTTTGTTGTTTTAAATAGTTTTTGAAGGTACATGTCAAGAAGTGATTCAAAATGAAAGGCTTAAGAATGGACCATCACAGCACAAAAGAACTTTTGGTAATCATTGAAAGAAGTTAAACATGGTTACGCAAGTAAATGGAAATGGAAAACATCATTCTTTGAAAGCAAAGATATATGAAGTAAACATTAATAACCTGGATCCCAAACCTAAGGTTATATTAACACAGGTAGAACACATGTAGAAGACATTGTTGAAGCAATAGCAAAAATATATTAAATCTTCATTTTCTCTTTTTGATAATTCCAATGTATAAATCAGAGGGAAATTGTAATAACTAGGTAATCACTAGTAGAACTCTAACTTTACAAATCTGAGAGAATTAAAATATAAAATAAATCCTATCATGGTATGACACTGCTGGATAAGCAGTGGACCGCCAACCACAAGGTTAGCAGTTCAAATCCACCAGCTGCTCCTCAGAAACCCTAAGCTGGAGCACTATGGGTCAGAACTGACTCAACAGCACTTAACAACTTAACAACAACAACATTAGTATAGTACATGACAAAAAGCAAGCAGCAAGGAAACAAACAAAGAAAAAAAACGAGGATGAAAGGGAGTATAAATATATGGTACTGTAGAATAAGCACTGGACCAAAAAGTCAGTTTGAACTGCAAAGTTGGTGGTTCAAACTCACCAGCCACTCCTCAGAAACCCTATACAGGGTGGCTATGGGTTGGCACAGTACTTAATAACAACAACTGACAATAAATATAAATGGGTTAAAGGCCCCTATTGAAAAACCTACACTCTCAGATTAGATTAAAAATTTAAATTATATACTTCTTAAGAACCTACTCAATGGCACAACAACATGAGAGATATACCTAAAACAAAATGACGTATGTATCAATCTGCGTGCTGAGCAAATAATCTGAGAAGCTGGACTATAAAAAGAAGAGCACAGCATCAGGATTGGAGGAAAGTTCATTAACAACATTCAATATGCAGATGATACAGTCTTGCTTGCAGAAGCACTTACTGATGAAGATCAAAAACTACAGCCTTCAGTATAGATTACATCTCAATGTAAAGAAAACAAAAATCCCCACAACTGGGCCAATAAACAACATCATGATATGTGGAGAAAAGATTTAAGTTGTCAAGGATTTCGTTTTATTGGGACCACAGTCAACATCCAAGGAAACAAGCAGTCAAGAAAGCAAATGATGGGCAAATCTACAGAAGAACAATTTGAAGTGTTAAAGAGCAAAGATATCACTTTGAGGACTAAGGTGTACCTGACCCAAGTCTTGATATTTTCAGTTGCTTTATATTCATACAAAAACTGGACAATGAATAAGGAAAACTGGAGACAAATCAATGTATTTAAATTACGGTATTGAGGGAGAATATTGACTATACCATGGACTTCCAGAAGAGCAAAGGAGCCCTTGTGGTGCAGTGGATTAAGCCAAAGTCAGCAGTTTAACCCAACCAGCTTCTATATGGGAGAAAGGTGAAGCTACCGGATCTATAAAAATGTATAGTCTCAAAACCCCTATGTAGCAGTATGGACTTTGGTATTTTATGGGATTTTGGGGGGTAGGGGCGAGGGCACAAAAGAATGAACAAATCTGTCTTGTAAGTACAACCAGAATGTTCCTTAGAAGTGAAGATGGTGAGACTTCATCTCTTGTACTTTGAACATGTTATCAGAAGGTACCACTCCCTGAAGAAGGACTTCATGTTTCGTCAAGGAGTAAGATCCTCAGTGAGATGGTTTGACACAGTAACTGCAACAATGAACTCAGGCATAACAATTGTGCGGATGGTAGGATGAGGCAGTGTTTTATTCTGTTGTTCATAGAGTCACTGTGAGTTGAAACTGACTCAACAGCACCTTAACAATACAAGTAAGCTAGGGAGAAAACAGGTGGCTAGCCCTGATGACTCTGTAGGTTGGGGGTAAGCTGCTAACTGAAAGGTCAGCGGTTCAAACCCACTAAGCTCTCTGTGGGAGAAAGATGATGTTGTCTGCTCCTGTAAAGATTTACAGTCTCAGAAACCCTATGTATGGTTGCTATGAGTCAGAATAGAATACATATTAAGGGATTTGCTTTAGTTTTTATAATCACATTGTAGGCAGAGATTTTCTAAGTCTGAAAAGGAAAAGTGACATACTTAACTACTTAACAAATTTAAAATTCTGTAAGAATTATTATAGATCTTTAAAAGGCAAAGAACAAGATGTTTGCAATAGCTATTTCAAAGAGCAGGTTAATTTCCATAATGTATCAAGAACTCTTAGAAACCAGCAGGAAAGATACTAATAATGCAATTGTGAACAGACAATTCACGGAAGAA